TCATGGGGAAAACCTGTCCCATGAACCCTTGCTGAAGAGAGGGAGGGAAAGCCTGTATAAGGCTGCTTCCCCTGGAGCTTTGAGAGCTTTCCACCTGCCCACCCTCAGGTTAGAGCAATTTTGGGTCGTTGGTTGACAGGGCTGGAAAGGATTTTTCTCTCTCTCAACCTGATTGGTAATTGGTTGGGGGTTGTTGTTTTTTTGCCCTCCCCTCAGTGAAATTATGGCTTTCCTCTGTTAGGCAGAAGAATGTTGTTTGTATGAGGGCAGAAATGGCATTGGAGAGGATCAACATAGTATAGCCCCTCCCCCAAGGGGCCTGAGGGGATGATTGACCACGGCAAATCCAAGCGTGGGTTCGGCATCTGCCTGGTTGGAATCTGCCCCCTGGTCCCCCCATGAGACCTTGCTTGCTTGGCTTGCACCATGGCATGGTTCAACACTGACTGACTCCCATCGTACAGGTTTGGAGCGCTCCAAACCCAGCGGATCCATTCCATCAACATGGGGCTTGTGGAATGATGAACTGAACCTGGGACCCAGTGCCATGCCAACCCTTGCCGTGCCTGCTGCTGTCAATAGAGATTTGGCCTGATTTTATCCCATCACCGTTGTACAGTCTGGTTATTTTGCTCCTCTCATGGGTCACATAATGCGCCTGCCTGGGCAAACGAGTATCAGAGGGCAAGTTATTTCATTCAGGAATATTTTGTGGAAATGAAAACTAATTCTAGATAAACTATGGATCCGTCACATTTATCTGGGATTAAATCCCATTTAACTCAATGGGACTCTCTTCTTTATAGTCCTGTAGAAGGCCTGCACTGTAAATCCTTTACATCCTTATATTACTCAGACATTTTATGTGTATCCATGAATGGATAGCATTGGCCAAGTCTGCAGCGGACTTTCTTGATGTCCCTGTGCACTAGTATGGCCAATATAAGTTGTGCAGTGGTTTATCAACACTCAGATAAATCTTACTGAGCAAAGAAAATCCCTGCAGGCCTTTTGCAAAAAGTGGCAGTGGGCTGTAAAAGCGATTCACTAATTTGATCAAAGAGAAAGCTTTTGGAAGTTGTTGTTTTCGTCGTACTTTGTCCTGGTAGCTTAACTGGTCATGCTGTATGCCTGTGTTTCAGACATTTTTCTTCTATCTGTACTGTAAGCAATGACCTATGACTGCAAGCAATAACATTTATTCAATTGTGACTGCACATTCACCGTACCAAATTTGGAAATCAAAACAAAAAATTGAGATTTTCATGAGACTATTTGAAGAGCACTACTGGATCACATCGACCAATGATCTGGAAAATCTATAAGCAGGTCATAAGGGCAGAAGTCCTCTCCCACTTTTGTTCCTCAGTGGCTGGTGTTCAGATGCATGTTACCTGAAGGTAATGCAGAGTATTTTGAGGGAGAGAGAAAAACCCCCATCTCTGTCCAACTTCTTCATACCATGCCTCACAAGATTGGGTAATTCACAGACCTGCAAAATCTGGGAATAAATACACATCTGCATGAGCAGTGGTTAGAAATCTTGTGTTTATGAAGGTGTAATTTTGAGGAAAACAAGCTTTTTAATCACATCAAAACATTGGGATCATAATTGCTCTGAATTCAGTTCACATTGTTTTAGCAAAAAAATGAACATTCTCCTCTGCAATCTGCAATCATTCTTCTTGCTGGGCTTTTAGAAACTGGGTGTCTTGTGCTCTGAAAGACGGATAATTTAATCCATTCAGGTAAGTATGATAACAGTACATTACAGACCTGAGCCTATCATGTGTCATTACAAGAGCTGGGGAAGCTTCCATAATAGCTTCATCCATCGAGCATGTCAAGCTTATGAGTTAACAAAGGATGGATGGATGGATGCCCCCAAAGAGAGGTTTAATGCAGTAGAAAAGCCAAGCTAGCAACGATTTCTGTGTTAAATGAATTAACTGAGTCACACATATGCTGTTTCTCCTGCCACAACAAACAGTTAAAAGAATTGAACAAACTGCAAGGTCAACACCCTTGTTCTCTTATTGAGATGTATCCACAAATGTAGTTAGCATCATGATTTTAAACACTTGAACCAAAACTTTAGCGAGTGGTATTGCTGAGCTGGTATTAATAATATTATAGGCAACTGGCTAGTGCCTGCATTCCCCACCCCTCCAGAAGGTAGAGGTAAAAAGGTAAAGGACCCCTGCATGGTTAAGTCCAGTCAAAGGTGACTATGGGGTGTGGCGCACATATCGCTTTCAGGCCGAGGGAGCCGGCATTTGTCCACAGACAGCTTTCCAGGTCAAGTGGCCAGCATGACTAAACTGCTTCTGGTGCAACGGAACACTGTGACGGAAACCAGAGCGCACAGAAAAGACGTTTACCTTCTCGCCACAGTGGTACCTATTTATCTACTTGCACTGGTGTGCTTTTGAACTGCTAGGTTGGAAGGAGCTGGGACAGAGCAACAGAAGCTCACCCCATCACGGGGATTCGAACCGCTGATGTTATGTACTGAGTTGAATAGGATCCAAAATGCAGCAGTCTGATTGGTCCTAGAACAATAGGATTCAGAATGCAGCAGTCTGATTGGTCCACAGGAGCCAGCTCCAGGTGGAAGTGAATCCGCAACCTGATTGGCCTACTGGAGAATCCTGGAATTAGCCAATTATGTGGGGCCCATTGTGCAAATAGAGTATATTTCAGCTGACCTTCTGATTGGCAAGCCCAAGAGGCTCAGTGGTTTAGACCACAGCACCACCTGCGTTCGCCCACCTCTCCAGAAGGGATGAAAGATGTCACATTGGTTTATGTAGGAAATTAAATCAGGGAAATGGTGTGTGTATGCGTGTGTCCAGTGGACAAATAAGGGGTAGGGCAATCAAGCAAGTAAAGTGGCCCAAAACCGTTAAGGGATTTATACACTAATAGTAATGCCTTGACGTTGGCCTGGAAGCAAATGGGCAATCAAAGGAGATCTCGGAGAAGACCTGAAAGTTCCCTAAATAATCAACCCAGTTCTGGTAGACAAACCAAGCACTAGACCTCAACGTAGTAGATCTAATTCTAGCAACAGCCTAGGAAGGGAGAGTGGGGGGTGGTGGTGCGGGGGTGGGGGTGGGAGAAGAGGCTTCTCACTGTGACATCATGATTAGTGGATCAATAAGCAAGAGAGATTAAAGTGCAGGAAGGAGGATGAAATTTGATAATAGCTATATGAATCCATTTTCATGTTTGGCTGGAGTGAATTTCTTCGCTGTTTCTCCTAGCAAACACAGCAAAATTTTACCCCCAGGCAAAAACAGTTTATAATTATTTCCCAGGCTCAAGAAGACCTGTCATATTGCAACCATTTGGGGAGAAAAATCAAACTTTATCAAATATGTGTGTATTGCTTTCTTTGTCCATAACATATGGCTGCCAGGAGTACATTAGTATGCAAATTAGTAAGGGTCACTAGTGAAAACAGACAAAAAGGGAAGGAAGAGGTGACTCAACAAATTACTTCATTAAGCCTGCAAATAAAGCTGTTTTATAAGATGTAGATTCCTGTTTTTTTTGTTACAACATTTCTAAGAAAAAATCATTGGCAAATGCGCAAGGGCTTGGTTCAAAGCTTTGTCCATTACAAACAGCTTTTCATTAAGGTGTGAAAGCACTTGAGTCAAGAAATACAAAGGGCTCTTTGTCACTGTCCAAATTAGCCACTGTCCCCTGCCGTGCAGTCCCCTGTGTGCCAATAAGTGTGTTTCTTTTTTAAAAAATGATTTGGATTTTAAAGACAGGTGATCACATTATATACAACCACTCTTAATGAAAAATGCTATATTTTGTTCACTGAGATAACCCCCCCCCGCAAAAATAAACATTTTATTCTCACTTTCTTCGTCTGCTCCAAAATACACTTCTTTGGGAGTATTTTATTTCTAGTTTATCCATTGCATCAAATCCTTAATTCCTGGCTTCTCCTGGACATGTCTCCTGACTCTTGCTCAGTGTTTGCCTATTGCACAGCAACCACAACAATTTGGCCTGGCATAGAGTTGCTGATGTCTCACGATGGTTCCTGGGCACACAAACAACCTTAGTACCTTACTGGATGGATGGGTGATGGTTGTGTGTCGAGACCCTGAAGCCACCCTCTCGTTGAGAAATAACACACACAAGGACACAGATATTAGGTTAATGTTACTGGGCAAATTTTGGCCACAACTTTATTGGCTTAGGCATTGAATGGACCCGACTATATCTGACCCCTGCCCGATGCGCAGGAAGTCCAGTAAGGGTAAACCACCGGAAGGGGGAGCCCTGTCGATGCAGACCAACTCAAGCTCCCCCTAATGTTCCAGTTGGGGTCTTGTCATGGCCCTAGCTCCACCCCGGGCTTCAGACAAGATCAACACCCCCAGATTCCTTTAACAGAATACCCTTAAGCTTGGAGGGGCAGGTGATGGCCACACCTCCCCTCCCCCATCACAAGGTCAAACAATGCCTAACCTCAACCCTAACAAAGTTGTGACGATTGCTACGAGGTAGGCGAAAACCAAGTGGCCAGTGCCAATTTGCCAAGTGGAGAAATTCCTACCAGGCCCCTCAACGGCGACCAACTGAGGTCCATAGCAAGGCCAGTGCCTAAAACCTGCAAAATACGGAGGGAGGGCAGGTGATTGAGGAAGCGAGCCAAAGAGGAAGTCCTCCGGCTCGCGCCTCTGTTTAAATGGTCCTGGCCACGCCCCCCGGGCAGTGGATTGGCTGGTCGGGCTCTGGCGTGGCCGGGATCCCCCGCCCCAGGAGGGGAGTGGGTGGCCATGCAGTCCACCGCAACTCCTCCCCATGGGGAAGTGGAGCAGATTTGCTAATATCTTCTGATACGTTCAGACCCTACAGTGGGTTTGGAGCCTTGATACGGTGCTATATAGCCTTATTCAAACAAATATTTGCAGATCAGAATGTTATATATACATTAGGGGTGTGTAACCCCTTTTCTATGCCAACTGTGGGCAGGCATTATCCAGTCCTCCCAAGCAGCAGCTGTTCCGTGGGGAGCAGCTGAGAGAGAAATGGATTTTTCTGGTGTGAGAAATGTGCTGCTGCCGAGTCTTCCTCTGCAAGAAGGTTAAAGCAGAGAGGGAAATAGCTGCAGATTTGGGGTGGATCTACACTCATGGTTTATGAAGTTAAGGAAGGGTTAAAGAATGATTTTCATAACGTAGATAGACACATTACGCTTTGCTTGTAACATTAATAATGCTTGATTAAAATGTGACACCAGAAGGCACTGCAGAGCAACCAGGAACCAGCAGTAGGGAAACTGTGTTTGGACGGACAAAACAAGGTAAGAAACATTTTTAATTTACCAGTATGCCCTGTGACGTTTTAGAACGATATATCTAACATCGTTCTGATAATGTTAAAAAGGTCAGTGCAGATCCAGCCTTGCACTTCTTGCAAATCTGTAAAATAGAGCCCATGTGTTTTGCAACTTCATGGACACAGTTTTTCAAAATGCAACTGTATTTTTTTTTTTGTAAAGAAATGCAACTGTATTTTGAAGTCATAAATAACTGTAAGACAGGGCTTGCAGTTCCGCAGCACACTGGCCTTGTTTGTGTTCTGTGGGATACTGGAGTACTTTTGCAGACCTAGGAGAGATAAAGAATGTTAGATAGTTGGTTCCCCCTCCCCAAAGAAAAATGTCTGTGAAGAAAATGAAAGTGAAACTTGAGTGGAGTCATTAAGACCTGTATGCTTCTGTTTCCATGGAAAATAGGTGTGGTTTTATATTTGTGTGCATGTGAAAGGTGTGTGATTGTATGTTGGTCTGGATCTGCCCACAATGGGGGCTGGCCCCACTCACTACTGGAATGTGACCCCTGACAGCTTTCCACTAGTGTGATTTTGTTCATTTTCTTGTTTCATAAAATGTATACGCTGCTTGATTGTAAAAAAAGCCCTCAAAGCCGTTTACAAAAGATAAAACGGTAAAATCAAGAAAAAATGATTTTCAATGAGACTCTTGGCAAAATAAATAAATGCCCCCATCCCTTTTATAATATCAATATTTATTGATAACTTGTCCAAAGATATACAAAAGTTCATACCCAATACAACGTGTCATTTTATAATACGCCAGAGTAAAATAAACACTTCTAAAATCTAATCTAAAGAAGAATAGAGGCAGAAATATGGGAAAAGGGAAAGAGATGGGGGGGGGGAATGAATGGGGGGGGGGAAGAGAGAGAAATGGAAAAAGATCAAAAGTCCTCCGGTTCTTTGTCCTGCAGCTAAATGTACTATTCATTCACACACAGACATACAACTATTTTATATAAGACAATATTTTTTCAGTCTTCAAATCCAGATATTGCAAGTTCATTTTCTCTTTCACCAAAAAGTCATTAAGAAGTTTCCAATCCTTAATAAATGCTAGTAATGATTTTTCTCTAATTAAACACGTTAACTTTGCCATCATAGCTAAGTCCAGTAATTTTATCAACCATTCCTTGGGGCTGTAACTTTACGTCTTTGTTTTTAGAGCCATCTCTCCACTGTAATCATAGATTGTGCCTCTCTCCTTTTACATGGGGGCAGCTTATCCACAGAAAATGTCAACAACAACTCTTTGTTGTTGTTGTTTTTTAAAAACAAATTCTGTGCAGAATGTAGGTAGGTAGTTCAAGCAGCTGTTTGGGGATTGCAGCCATGAGCTATTCAAACCAGGAGATTACAGGAAAACCAATGGCTGTTTGCACAGTGCTGTAGCCTGTATATTAGCCACTCAACAAATTATATTTCTCCTGCTTTTAACTTTCCCTCCTCTCATCATGGATCTCAGGAACGATGGTGTCTATGAAGGGAAGTCTGCCATGCTCAGGAGTTATGCAGCTTGGAAATGAAATTGTTCCAGTGAGTCATCTTCCTGCTCCAATACAGGAAAAATAACAACATTCCTTCAAAGAAGCAGCTGGATGTTTGTGTGCCAGAATCCCAGCGATTATGTCCTCTGCGTTCCATCTTGATCACTGACCACTGTCAATGCTTATGGAGATGGGTGCCTTCATAATATTAGTGGTTTATTCAAACCATCTTCTAAACTTGGTCTCCCTATTGTTTTACTAGACAGCAGTGAGTCAGCACTAAATCTGGTTGTACTTTTAAGCACCAGGAAAAAACTTTCCTCATTGAGTAAGTTCATTAGATCATCACCTCTCAGCCTAAGCTACCTAACAGGGTTGTTGTGAAGATGCACAGGCAGAATGGGAACCATGCACACCACCTTAAGATCCTTGGAGAAAATGTAGGAAATCAATGTAATAAAGAAACAAACAGAAAATAAACTAGGATTGCAGCTGGCTGGGTTGGCTCATTTTGGAAAGGTGCCATGCGCTCTTAAGTAAATCACAAGTTTCTCATTCATAACAATTTCTCATGAGCAGATATGTGTGGCTAGCTTTCAAATACAGTGGTACCTCAGGTTACATACGCTTCAGGTTACATACGCTTCAGGTTACAGACTCCGCTAACCCAGAAATAGTGCTTCAGGTTAAGAACTTTGCTTCAGGATGAGAACAGAAATCGTGCTCCGGCGGCGCAGCAGCAGCAGGAGGCCCCATTAGCTAAAGTGGTACCTCAGGTTAAGAACTGTTTCAGGTTAAGAACGGACCTCCGGAACGAATTAAGTACTTAACCTGAGGAACCACTCTAGGAGCAAATGAAGACTCAGTGAGGTTTGGCGGAATATGACCAAAACCAGACAACAACCTGAAGTGCCATTTGTTTTCAGGCACTGTGCATAGGATAAGGTTAAAAATAGAGCTTCCACTCCATGGAAATGGCTAAGGGTCTTTCTGAAACTCTTGGCTCTGCAAATCAATGACTAAGCAGAGAAGCTGGTGAAACCTTTATGAAGACAGGCAGGCAAGTGGAGAGCTGCAAAGCTTCTCTGATTTACTGATTTGCTTCGTACACACCTGCTAAGATCACTCAGAGGGCCCTGCATTGCATACATATTTTCAGGATGGGACTCTAAATCAATTCCAGGTTTGCGTATTCATTTTGGACAGTCTAAGTTGATCACAGTTTTCCAATATTTAAGAAGCTGCATTTTTAAAAGGATGGAGGGTAAGCAGGGCTGACCCAATATATTTTGCTACCTGAGGCAAAGTGAAGGACCACACATATCTGCTATTTGGGTCTCTGAAGCACAGATTCACACAAAGCGGCAAAACGCTCTTGCAGGTTATTAACAGGATTTTTATTTGAAGTGCATATGCAGAACAAAGGCACAGGGCGATCAGTACGCAACCTGTACACAGTAGTCAGGGTGCGCCCCTTTATATAGATTTGTAAAATATAATACCACCTGATCTCTTGTAAGTCACCTGATTTCTTGTAAGTCACCTGATTTCTGGGAAATCGAAACTTATAATAAGTTCCTATTACCATATAAGGTCTTGGTCTTCTCTCCCTCCTTCCTGCAACCTCCCTCATCCTGGTATTACAAGAAATCCTTGTTCCTTATCTCTATCTGCCCAAGCTAGACATTCCGAGAGGCCCATTTGCAATGTAACATTTAAGCATGTCCTTCAATAATAGAACAATTATATTGTAATATGCTCCTTCAAAAGGACAAGATGGCACCTTCTCCATTCCACGTCCAGAAGGTATCTGGACTGTTGGCTGACTCTTACTGTAGTGTCCTCCTTGTTTTCGAGTTTCCTCCCAATGAGAGCAGTCGACCCAGAGCCCCCAAACCCAACCTTTCCTTCAGAAAGGCCTGAGTGAGTTCAGGTATCTTAATATTATAACAACAACAACAACAACAACAACAACAACAACAATGTACAGCCATGATTGGTGAAGTTCATGCAGAGATGCTCAGAGTTCAATGAGAGTTTGATCCAGCATGTGGCTTTCTTGAGAGCAGAAAGAGCAAGAACAACAAAAAGTATAATCTCTGTACTTTTAACCTCCAGCTTCCCAGCATTTTGGAAGCCGCAAGGCATTGTAACTCAGATGGGTGAATAGGTGGACCATAAACAATGATCTCTGTTTCCATATTTACTTAAGAGTGTTATACTTGGCAGCGCACGTTTCCACTGGCTGAGGGCTAATTTCCTGATAACACAACTGGGCGGTTAATACAGGCTCCTTGATGAACATCTGAGCACGGTGTGAATGGCTGTGGTCAAGGTTTGGGCCCAGGACTGGGAGAGGGCAGAAGAAGACAGAGCTGGAGCCCAGAGCTGCTCTGGAAATTCTCCTAAACTGCCCTGGGTTTATTAAATTGTAGAATTTATTAAATTTATTTCTACTATTGCAAAGGCCTTGTTGTGAGTTTTGCCGCTATTGTAGAACTATATAGCTTGGTCATTAACTAATATGAGATGATTAATTTATCAGCTCAGTTCCAGTGCAACAGCATTAGCTATCAATATGCAGGGCTCTAAAACAGGGAAACTTGTGGCCTTCCAGATATTACTGGACCCCATACTGACTGATTATTGGACCTCAGCTCCCATCAGCCAGCATTGCCAGTTGTCAGGGATGGGGATACTTCAAGTCCAACATCATCACAGGTTCTCCCTGCATGCTTTGGAGACTTATTCAGATTGGGTCCAGCTTGCCTTAGGCAACGCCTTCACCCCTAATATGCCTCTTTAGGATGATACGCTGATCCATGTTATATCCTTTTATGGTATGGACAGTCCTCCTGAATGCTGTTGGACTCCAACTCCCATCAGCCTCAGGTAGCATCATCAAAAGGGACTTGGAGTGAAAAATAATAATAAATAAATTAGAAAGGTTACCACAACTGTTGGCTCCTGTATTATGGCAATATGTTTATTTTATGCATTTGTTGCAAGTATTTCTAGTCTGCCTTTCAAGATAGAAATTATTCCAAGGTGGTCAATGTTATGTACTGAAGTTCTCACCCTGGGCCAGTAGGGGGATACTGTAGATAGTTATGCAAATAAGGGATCGAAAGTGACGTTCAGTGATTGGATAGTTTTAGAAAATTGTTACAGTTACGTTGTACTGGAGCTCTATATAAGCAGGCTGACTGAACCCTTCAGTTAGTTCTGTTCTGGCCTGTGAATAAATAAGAGCTGTTTGAAGAATCGCTGTGTCATCTGATATGTTCACCCACAACTTAACAGTCAACAAGTCTCTCTCTCTCTCTCTCTCTCTCTCTCTCTCTCTCTCTCACACACACACACACACACACACACACACACAGTATATATGCAGATTAAAGAAAACCATGATGCAACAATTAATCAAAATTCTGATTAATAGGGAGCGTGGGTAAAGGGAGGCAGGAGGGGAAGTCCAGGTGGAATGGGACTCCCCCCCCCCATTTCTGAGAACACCAGATTGAAAACTAATTAAACAATGATGAAGTCATGACGGTCCAACACAATTCGCAAGCTCAAGCACCACTGCAACCGATGGTTCCGAATTGTGGACAACCCTGGAGCAGGTGGTGGACCATGTTCACACAGCAAGGATTGACCAGGTACCTAGGCTAGAAGAGGCAAGGGCTTTTACGAGAAAAGCTGTTTCAGTTATATGCGTGCCAATGTTGCAGCTTTCTTGGGAGAAGCCACGTTTTAATTTTGTTCTGAAGGAAGTTGTGTATTTATTTTTCCTTCCTGGCAGATGTGATAAAAAGAAGCATCTCACAATAATTTTGTTTGAAGTTCATGTCCTTCCCCATCTCAGGTTACAGAAACAGAAAGACACACACTGAGCATATACCCTGCACCATCCACTCTGATGTACCCTGATAAGTTAAGAAAGAAAAGTGTGTATGAGAAAGAGATAGAAGCAGGTTCCCCCCTTCTCCATCATCTTTCCCTGCTCAGTAACCTGGAGTCCTCATGAGTGGGTGTGCTGGCTCTGTATTGCACTGCACATCAGGATGCCGTTTTTGTGTCTAGTGACCCATGAGAGATTGAGTTCTTGTCTCAAAGAGGGAAGCCAGGATTTTTCTCCAGCTGAGATTTTAGTTTGGGGCTTTGGAAAAGCACCTGTCGAAAGCTTTCCTCTTCCAATAAGTCTTTTGATTAGAGATCTTTCACACTGTGCATCTGAATTGCAATTGTTTTTAAAGATGTTATTGTTTGTTATTTGCAGCCCTGGTTCCTTTTAGGAGGAAATGCAGGATATTCATTAAATAAATAGATAAATAAATAATGTTGTTGTTGTGTTTTTTTCCCCTGAGGCAGATTGTTAAGGACTCCTAATTTTTTTTTTTCCAGAGCCAGGCCAGGGAAAAAGCCACCAGCACATTTAGCTGAGGCATCAAAATCTGCAAAGGTTGTTGAAATTGCTAGTTTAACTCTCAACACTTGCCAGGAGTCCGACAGGTTGTAGGTGGCTTTTTAAAAAAATTATTATTAAATGGTGGTTTACCTCCAACAAAAAGGTGTCAAGATATTTTTAAAATCCCTGAAGAGGACAGAAGGACGAGGTTTAAGGAGGAATAAAAGGTCACCCATGCGAGAATAAGTAGGGGGAGGGGGACACAACCCCATCATTACAATAACATCATTTTCTTTGAGCAGGTATTTACAGATTCCTATAATATTAAAGACATCACTTTTTAGGTTGTGGTTTTTGTGGGGGCGAAACCGAGCAAAGGTTTAGCAGAGCTACCTGAATGTAAACACCTGAGTGTAAAAATGAAAAATGGGTAAGAGGAGGAGCTTGCCCTGTTGTTTCACACTCTCACACAGCCATGGCTTCTCCCAAAGAATTCTGGAAACTATAGTTTGTTTAAGGGTGCTGAGAGTTGTTACGAGACCCCTTCTCCCCTCACAGAGCTACAATTTCCAGAACGCTAGAACGAGCAACCCCTCTTCCCTGGGAACTCTGGGGCAGCCATGACTGTTTAAAGTGGCATCACTGTATTTTAAATGTATGGTGTGTGGCAGGATTTAAATTGAACAAGTAAAAAACCAAGGTTTTAGAGAAAAACTTAACACCGTTTGAAAGAGAGAGGTTTCAGAATGAGACAGGTTTAACAGTGGTTAAGAAAGTGAAATACCTGGGGATTAACATGACAGCAAAAAATGGGAATTTATTTAAAGATAATTATGAAAAATGTTGGTCTGAAGTGAAAAAAGACTTAGAAATTTGGTCAAATTTGAAGCTTTCACTGCTAGGCCGTATTGCTGCGATAAAAATGAATGTATTGCCTAGAATGTTGTTTTTGTTTCAAACTTTGCAGATTGTCGACAAAATGGATTGTTTCAAGAGGTGGCAGAAAGATATTTCTAAATTTGTCTGGCAGGGCAAGAAGCCCAGAATAAAATTTAAAATTCTAACGGATGCAAAGGAAAGAGGCGGATTTGCCCTGCCAGACCTCAAACTTTACTATGAATCAGCAGCTTTTTGCTGGTTGAAAGAATGGCTACTTCTTGAAAACACAGACATTTTGGACTTGGAAGGTTTTAACAATGTATTTGGATGGCATGCATATTTATGGTATGATAAGGTCAAAGCACATAAAGCATTTAGAAACCACATTGTCAGGAAAGCGCTATTTAATGTTTGGTTAAGATATAAGGACTTGCTAGAAAACAAAACCCCAAGGTGGCTGTCACCAATGGAAGCGAAAGCCTTGAAAAAGGTCAATATGAAGGTCAAATGGCCGAAATATTGGGAAATTTTGGAACAAGACGGAGATAGACTGAAATTGCAGAGTTTTGAAAAATTAAAAACAAAGTGCGAGACTGGCTTCATTATTATCAGATAATGGAGGCATTTAAATTGGACAAGAAAATTGGCTTCCAGGTGGAAAGATCAAAATTAGAAACAGAACTGTTAGAACCCAAAACTAAGAATTTGTCAAGAATGTATAACTTGCTGCTGAAATGGAACACTCAGGATGAAACGGTAAAATCGGCTATGATTAAATGGGCACAAGATGTTGGACATAACATTATGTTTGCTGACTGGGAACAGTTGTGGACCACAGGTATGAAATTTACGGCATGTAATGCCTTAAGAGAGAATATTATGAAAATGATATACAGGTGGTACATAACCCCAGTCAAGCTTGCAAAAATCTATCATTTGCCTGATAATAAATGTTGGAAATGTAAAGAAACTGAAGGTACATTTTTTCACCTTTGGTGGACGTGTCCAAAGATTAAGGCTTTCTGGGAAATGATAGATAATGAATTAAAAAAGGTATTTAAATATACCTTCCCTAAGAAACCAGAGGCCTTTCTCCTGGGCATAGTCGGCCAAATGGTGTTAAAAAAGGATAGAACTTTCTTTATGTATGCAACAACAGCAGCAAGAATACTTATCGCAAAGTATTGGAAGACACAAGAACTTCCCACGCTGGAGGAATGGCAGATGAAACTGATGGACTATATGGAACTGGCGGAAATGACTGGCAGAATCCGTGACCAGGGAGAAGAGTCGGTGGAGGAAGACTGGAAGAAATTCAAAGATTATCTTCAGAAACATTGCAAAATTAAAGAATGTTAGAATGATGTTGGATCGAAAATAAGTGGCTTCCAGCTGTACAGGTTAAAATTATTGATAGACTAAGATTAAAGATTAGGATTAAAGATGTTTAAGGAAATGGAAATTTGGTACTTAAGAGGTAAAAATTTAATGTTATATTACATTAAGATTAAAGATTAGGATTAAAGAAGTTTAAGTGTTATATATTATATTAAGTTTAAAGATTGGGATTAAAAAGTGGAAAAGAAATTGCTGGACAAACAATTTGGACTGGAATACAAAAGAGGGAGGTATGAGGAAGTCCAGAAAATAAGTAAATTCAAAAACGGAAATGGAAAAGTGATATTGTTTTTAATTGTTCTGTTTCTTTTTAGTTTTTGTTTTGTATTTTGTTTTCTGTGTTTTCTTTTTCTTTTTGGATTATGTATTGTGTGTTTTTGTATTTCTACTTTTATGTTCTTCTGTTTAACTTTTACTGAAATTTTAATAAAAAATATTTTAAAAAAAATATTAAATGTATGGTGTGAATGAGACCTTAATCCACTGCAGGTGTGCTATTAATGTTTCAGTTGCATGTTGCTGTACAAATTGACAGTTAAACAACCACCTGCATGTGTCCTGGGCCTACATGCCCCACTTCCCCAAGTGGGAGACGCTCCTGTAGGAAATGTGTGCATTTTATCTTTCAGCCTCTGCAAATTCTTGTTGCCCTTTACAGTACAGTGGTACCTTGGGTTAAGAACTTAATTCGTCCTGGAGAGCCGTTCTTAACCTGAAACTGTTCTTAACCTGAGGTACCATTTTAGCTAATGGGGTCTCCCACTGCCACCGTGCGGCCACCGCCGCGCGATTTCTGTTCTCATCCTGAAGCAAAGTTTTTAACCTGAGGTACTATTTCTGGGTTAGTGGAGTCTGTAACCTGAAGCGTCTGTAACCCGAGGTACCACTGTATAGATTTATTACATGCTTTGTGTTAAGTTGTGGGTGAACATATCAGACGACACAGCGATTCTTCAAACAGCTCTTCGTTATTCACAGGCCACAACAGAACTGAACTGAAGGGTTCAGCCAGCCTGCTTATATAGAGCTCCAGTACAACGTAACTGTAACAACTTTCTGTAACTATCCAATCACTGAACGTCACTTTCGATCCCTTATTTGCATATGTGGACCTGAACTATCTACAGTATCCCCCTGCTGGCCCAGGGTGAGAATTTCTGTACATAACACTTTGTTCTTTGTGTGATCAAACTGCCAGGACCAGTGTGCACTTTAAAATTTTAGCCTCTATGAAAATGATCATATGCTTTGTTAGTTTTTGTAGTGTTTGGTCTCTTACTGCCAGGCATTGGTGGTGGTTATATTATTGCTGGCCTGCTGCAACATTGGGATGCTTATTTTATTTGTTGTATGATGGACAGTTTGGCTTTTATGATGACTTTAAAATATTATCACATTCATATAATCCAACTGAGTCATTTGTTGGATCTTTGTGTTCTGTTTTGCAGTAATTTAGTATTGGGTTGTTATTGAATCTCCAGGTTGGTGAGAGCAAGGGTGCTTTTAATAAAAAAATTGAAATTATTAAGGAGACTGTGCATGCAGTGTGCGAGCTTCAGCTTGGCAGGAGC